TTCTTACGATTCGTTGGAAATTTGATTCGCTGTCTCTGGAGTCGTGAGAATTCTCGAAGAGATTTTGACAATTTTCCATCGACAGAGATCGATGGAAATCGTTAGAGTAAGAAAACGAAAGCGATATTTGTGTGATGCTGACATTAAGACTCTTTTTGAGAAATTCGTTTGAGAATTCGTCAGACTCCACCACCCTCCCCCATAAGAAGCAACCCCCCTCCCCCCCACACACCCTGAAAACTTGCAAATGCCTCTCGTATATTGTAAATATGTTTGTATATTTCCCCCCCCCTCGTCTCCCTCCCACCCCCGCCTCCGAGACAGCCTGCTAGCCTCGGAATTAGATTGTTCTTACCCTGTTCTTTTCTGAGACATGTTGTTGATCGATTCTCTGTACTACTCTCGTTTCTTGGCACTGTTCCTCCTCCACAGCAATCTTGTTTCTGGACTGTTTGAATGCGAACCACTTCACTTGACTTCTCAAGACACGATTCGTGCTCGACGGATTGTTACGATATACACCATACCTACCGATATCACTTCTGATAAGTGTTTAACGACAACAGTTGTCAATGATAACGTCAGCCAGTGACTACAGATACTATAAGACTGCGTACCATTGTTCTCGAGTGGTCATGGATTTTGGGTGTTTTAGGAACTCAGGGTTAAGTTTCATGCTTTTATGTAAGATAGAGAAGATAGCGCTCATTCTCGAGGATTCGTGACCCCTCCTGAACAATAACATCTAAAGTCTTATAGTATTCGTAGTCACTGCGACAGCTTCGTCTGTTTTATTCCCTACAGGTTTTTAAACTTCCATGTTCTCTCCGTTTAATCGAGAATACATTTGTACTTACTCTTATATCTAGGATTGACCGTGTCTCTGGAAACACCTGTACGTTCCCAGTCAGAAATTATCATTCCCGATAATCGACGATTAAACCGACGAGAAACTTGTTTCGCGCTTCGATTATCTTCCCTCCACCTCCTGTGGGCCGTGGTTAGGACAGAAATTCCGGTTGCCAGAACTATAAATTCGAATCGCGTGTACGGCAATGGGAATTAAACCGGCGGCAAATCAGTTTAGACGAGCACGCCCGTTCGTGGGTCAACAGCAGTGGATCCGATTCGGTGAATATTGCGTGTGCGCAAAAAATTTGTATTCACTTTTTTAAATATTTTTTAAAAACGGTGCAACGATTCCCACTAGCTATTGCCCGGCGACGAATGTTTCCGCGGAAAATCCGCTCCACGCGATAATCAGTTTACCGGCGAGGCACGATGACGTCGCGCCGCTTCATCAATTTTTCGCCGGAAACGCGGACGGCGTCCATTAACGTGGCCGTTGATAACGGTGACGCTCTGAGCGTGGTGTCTACTTTACTACAGTCGCACAGTGGTCCAGAATCAAAATTTAACAGCTCGTACGATATTATTTAGCCAAAGCAATTAAAAATTCGAAAACTATTATATTTTGTTTCATTAAGAAATTATCACTTTTAGAGATCGTTTTCGGTTACGTCATCATTCACTAACGGTGTTCTCATTTTCATGAAAGTCGAAATTTTTAGGGAACTTTTTTCTTTTTTTTTACAGAGATCGATGATATTATAGGAAGGGGAAGGAAAGTGTAGGCGAACAATAATACATGAACAAATCTTCCACGATTAATCCTCCGTTGTCACACCTTCTTTTTCTTGGAAACTAATATTCCAATCAGCTGTCGTTTAAAAGCTATTTGTTAAATTAAATCGCGAAAAATTCTGAGATGAAATTTTTTGTAGATTGTGTCCTCATTGAAAAAAATTACTATTGAAGGATTCATAGCGTTTAAAAGAATTCTTGAGGCAAAACAAAATTCTGAAAAAAAGTTTAAGGATACCTGAAATTACTACTACATGGCACCAGTAATACAATGTTCAATGACACCCACAAGATATCTCACTCCAAAGTAAAAAATCTCTGGTAAATTTGACCCAGTGTGGCAACGGAGGGTGGATAATAAATTGATGTGACTTTTTTTCGAAAGATAAAAAAAAATTGTTTTCGACCACACTCGTGAGTTGCTAAATCTTGAGTCGGCCCAAAATCAATTTGCCCTTCCACCTTGAAATTCATTGAAAGCCCCCCTATCGTCGTTACGATCCAAGGGAGGCGGAAACGACCTTCGACGTGTAAGGGAAGGGGGGGGGGGTAGGGTGGAGGGGACGATTGATTTCGTTGCTACCGTTCGTAAAGCTCAGGGAACCGCGTCACGTCACAGCTGCCCGTGACATGAATTAATTAAATTTAATTAAACGAGCCAATTAAGTTCGACCCGGTGATTCCACCAAGTCGATCAACGTGCTCGCGCGCGTAGTCAACGAACGCGAATCGAATCTCGTGTTACTTTTTTCAACCAGTAACTGTGTCGGCTCGTCGCACGTTGAAGAAAAGAATCGCTGACCGAGGGCACGATATGCACTCTAGAGAGTTTAGAAACCCGCCCCTAGATCACGCTTCTATTATAGATACACCCTTTACGGTGGCTGGGGGAACTTTGTTCCGCGACAGGGAACATGACAAACTGTCGGGGTTAATGGAAGTTCCTCCGCGGAACTAGTTACCGATCTCTGTCGGTAAATCGTGTATCAGCAGACGATGCCCAGATAGAAGCCAACCGCCCCCTTCCCCCTCATTTTCAATCCGTAGTTCGAGAACTGGAGAGTTTGGAATGGAGCGTGTCTCGCCCCCGTCTTGCCCCGACACTTTTTCGATTCTTTTTCGAGAAAAGAAACTTAGAACAAACTAGGATCTAGCTTAGGTCAATGTTCCGTAGCACTGAAGTTTTGTATAGTTAGAAAGTGTAACGAACAAGATAGGACGCACTACGACCAAAGGATATTACGTCTGCGATACGATCGGATCGATGGAATCTGAGAGCAAAAAATTGGTCGGTCGAGGTGAGCTTTCCATTCGTAAATCATACATCGTGGCTCCATCGTTACTTCTGTGATTCCAGCTTTCTCGGAAATACGAAGATTTCCGTGGAATCGAGGGATGGAATCAAGTAACGAGGTAGCTAATGTCGTATATTGGAATACGGTTTTTGACGAGCCAATTTCTCCGTTCCCGGGTACAAATTGATCCTTACCGCAGCCGTAACAGCATCCTGATATTTTGATTTCGATTTACATATCTTGCGCACCGCCCCCACTTTGTGCTCGATGTTCCCCACGGAATGAACGGCAATTCGATTCAGTAGCTGCGTAATCGATACGCGGTGTCTTTGACGAGACCAGCGTACAAACGTCATTGTGTCGGCGTGCAAAGCAGTATACGCATACCGACGTGGAATGTAGAGCGTTTGCGGGTCAATAGGTGCCCCGACGATTACTCACGTGCACCCGCGATGGCTAGAAACGTTCTCCGGAAACGCAAAACCGTCCGATCTGGCGACGGCCAGCTATCTGCGAGAAAATACACACGATATAGATAGATCGGTCGTAGGTACCGAAAGTAGATCAGACTTAGGGTAGGTGTGCCTAGCGTGCAACAATGTAGTGTGTGCTTGTGGTGTGGATTTCAGCAGGCGTACAGTCAGTACATCCCGGCGACAAGGGCCCAAGTAACGGGCGCCGAAGGGGGGCAGACCGGGGCTGCGATGGACGGGACATACCTCGTCGAGGCCTCGTTCTAACTTTTCTTAGCCAGTCCTAGTGTTAAAAGCACGATAAACAAAAAAAACCAATCCTGAAGAGAATATAAACGAGCCGAACGAAAAAAATGTAAAACCATCAAAAATAGATATATATATATATATATGTATGTATACAAAAAAAAGGAAACAAAGCAAATAATATAATCGAAGACGACTGACACACGAAGGAAAGGTAACACGAGATACATACACGTTTTAGAAACAGATTTCGAGTCGATCGGCATACGCAGAGGCGCGGTTGCCCGAACCAACCGGTATTTCAGAGAACGAGCATCCATACGGAGACCAGAAAAGGAGAATACGTAGTAGAAGGCGTGCCGTGTAAATGTATATAAGGAGAGTAGAGACGGACACGGAAGGAAACCAGCCAGGATATACATTAAGCGACACATTAATGATCGTTCTAATAATCGTCACGATACGACAGGCACGCGAGAACGTTGGAAAACAGATAGAAATAACAGAAAAAAAATATAAATATATATTAAGACACAAGACACACACAGTGCAAAAATCTTCGCAATAAAATTAAATCAATCAAATTCTTCTATTTCCTCATTTCCGTGCCATCCCCGTTCTTCGACGACCGACCCGACCATGGAAACTGGACCTCGAACGCATTACGACGACGTCGCCGCTACCGTCCATCCACGCCCATCATCGTCTGGCCCATCGTGTTCATCCGCCATCCACGAACCACACGAGCACGTCCGTGTTTCATCCTCTTGGCCTGCGAGAATCCGGCCATCTGTTTTTTGTTCTCCTGCCGATCTCTACCATGTTCACGACACGCGTGCGCGCGGCCGTCACGGGCTAACATTAAGTTTTAACGAACCTGGGAATGCATAACGAAAACGAACTGAAAAAAAAACCGAAAAACATTTACGTTATGGAAAATAAAAAATATCGAACGCAAACGAACATCATCGGAACGACCAAATTGGTCCGTTCCGCGTGAAACCATGCGGAATTCGTAATGAACCCCGTTGGATCTCTCTCGCGCGTGCTCTCTCTCTTCTTCTCTTCCTGTCGTCCACGCTGGAATATCGTGGATGGAAATGACAACAAATATAAATACAAAAAAAAACATATATAAAAATATGTACATAAATAAATCAAACGAACGCACGCTAACACATCCACGATGGACACGAGAATCGGGACAACGCGATGTACGATTCACGTTATACCGGACAAAACGTACGATGATTGGCGGCGAAACTCAACATGGCCGCTGCCTTCATTGCCGCCGCCGTCATCGTCGTCGATCATCATGCACACGAATCATCTATAATTGTAGAGCTTGTCGTATCAGCTCACCTCGAACGAGAGCAAGGATAGAGTGGTGCTCGTTTACGGAGATCGTATAGAAGTGCGGACAAAGGTAAAGAACACCGTGTTACCTGAAAACCGTTTTGGATTCGATGATACAAATTATTCGTACACTGTACACACTATGTTGTATATCGTTTTTTTTTAAATGTCTTGTTGTACACGCGCGGACGTGATCGACGGACCACTTGCGTGTACCTCGCGTCGGCTCGTATACATACACACACACACACACACACACAGGTGGATCGAGAGTTGTTATGGAAAGGGTATCGTTAAGAAAGATGAGAATCGATTGTCGTTAATAGATATATCGAATTCGTGTCGAATAAATGGCCATTCGTGGGAAAATCGTAATAGTAGATTGATGATTCTAAATCAGGGGAGGTGCGAGAATTCTTTGTTAAGAGTAGAGAAGATCAGCGATCATGGTATCGCACTTTTGTATCTGATATCTGAAACGTTATAGTTACACTACCACTCGTAAGTGTTAGGACTCCTGGTCTGTATGAAGAGAAATGTGATGTTTCGTAAAAATCCGATATTTTAGGCCACTGTTTGTAGACCGAGGGCTTCCGTATCCGATACTCGAAGTAAAGTAACGATACTCTTCCGTCGACTGTGGACGAACATTAGTTCGCGAACGAGCAACGGGCAGACTGAAAAACACCGTTCGTAGGGTACACGCGATTCACTCGAGAACTACGATTACTAGTTTGCAAGTGAATAGAATCGGGGGATGGGTTCGACTCGAGGCATCCGTTTTTCATGGGATAACACCCTCGATCCACGTGATCGATATCACGGTGTGTGTATACGAGGTACGCGTTATCGCGAGCGCGTGTACAATCTTTCACGGTGTTTATAAGATGTGTATACGATAGTTGTGTGGCCGTTGGGAGAATATGAGGCAGCTTTTCTTGTCCTTCGGCGGAAGGAACGGAAACGAAGGACACACGAAGGCCTCCCCATACATCCCCCTTGATGGTCGAGAATACATATATCGTGTCACGTGGCTGATCCCTGGATTGGCTTCTGGGTGTCTGCTTTCCCCGAGATACACTCTCCCCTCCTTCCCACCCCTCGCTTTTTCGCGTCACGGCGTTTTCCATCCCTATTACGCCCCAACAAACTTCTCCCCACTCCTTCACCGTTACGACAGCCCCGTTTGTCTCTTCAAAAGATTTCCGTCCTGTTCCACGTGGACCCCTTCGATTCATGTTCCAATTTCCCTCTCGTCGTCCGTTACTTTTCACTTTCGTCCGCGGTCGACGCCCCCTGAAAACCGACAAAGGTCCTACCCAGACACGAAGTTACCCTTTTGGCATGGTGCCTCCACCCCTCCTCCACGAACTCATCGCGTTGCGGCTGACCCTTGATCTGGCTTCTGATTCATGCATTATCGCGCAGATCGCGGCTTCTTTGTCTTCCCACGTGTCGATTCTTCACGCCTGCGTCCGAATCGGATGCATCCTCCTCCATCCATCCTCCCTGAAATCCCCTCGCGGCATCGTGTCCTGCTCGTAGATGCAGATTCTTTTAACTTTAGCGAGCTTTCCATCGTGCCGTGATTACGCCTAGGATACCAACGATTATATTAGATGTGTTACGATACTTGTCACGCAGAGATTAGCTGCTTCGTTTAGAAGGCGATCGAAGTAGGATACGATGAATAACGGAAAGGAAAGTCGACGAATTATGGCGAACGTGAGTCCACGATACTGGACCGGGCTTTCCACGCTTGGACGCTTCTCCGATCTCGTCGGTGTTTCACGAGCTTGTATTTTGTCAGAGAATGGTCGAAAACGCGACGGGGACAAAGGTTCACGAGACGCGACGTCTCTGAAACAGCTGTAATGGTATTTCGTTGTTCGATCAATTAGCTTCCTCGCTGCGGAAGCTAATTTTTTTTCCGTCTACGGAAGGAAAAACTTCAATTAATGCGAATAACGCGAAGTACTTGGACGGCAGATATGTATTTGAACATTTTTCGGAATGGCTTGCATTATGAAGCGATTGTTGATAAATACACAGGGATACGTTTTTTGTATTGTACGCAACAGACGAATCACTGGCATACGTTACACGTAATAGTCAGATTATTCATTGCTATGGATTGTAGCTAGTAATCATCTTATGTCAAATAAACTGAAGGGGTAAATATTTATAATGACGGAACTACTCCCTAATGGCTCCGTTGTTGTAAATATTTACTGCTCAAGAGATCACGAATAGTTCTTTCAGATAAAGAAAATACTAAACCTGTGTAACGTCCAACACTGTTAATATACAGCTACAATGACCTAAAATAGTATCTGGTTAACGATTAACACTGAACTATTCACCATAGAATTCTGGACACACAATCTCGAAAAGTGTTCAATCTATCAAATTTCCATAGACGATGTTCATCCTAAATAAATTCCAAACCCTTTATCCAAACCTCCTCCCCTATTCATTTCATCCCTCAGATACGCGTCTTAAGATGTCAACCCGTTCGTTTACCTTCGAAGATCGCGTGACTGGCGAAAATCTGTGGGTGGGTCGGTACGTCGTACCGATGTCGACCGTATACAACGGCCACCGGGTTGGTACGCCGTACCGATGTCAGGTTGGACAGGTTAATAAGCCAGACGGGTTAATAAACGGCTCCGCAGCGGCAGCCGGTGATTAATATACTCGTCGGTGAAAGACGTCGGCCGAGCTTCTGTACTTCGCGAGCGCTTCTCTCGCGCTCCCGTCCATGTTATCACGTATCCGCAGCATCGCGCACTAATGCGTTTTCCTTGTATCGTGTTCGGTATCGAGGCGAACGTGGTCTCGCGAGCGCGCGATTACCAGCGTGACTTCGAAACGCTTTTCTCTGCGGGGGGAAACGAGTTTAGAGATGGATTTTCCATTGCTGGGGAAGAACGTTCCGCAGATGTGGATACACGAAGACACGTACCGTTTTTATTCCGTTGTATTTCACCCTCGATCCTACGTCCTGGACACTTTAGCGGCCGTGGGAGCAACGCGAAAACGTCGGTTCACATTTTATTCGGAAAGCCTACGATTCGTGGATCCGACACCCGGGAATTTCGAGCGTAGAGTGGATAGATTGAATATTTCATATCGTTCGCTTTTCTTGGTATCTACTGTCGTTGCTGGTACAACGGACAATTTACTATTAGTGGATCGTCTATTAAAAGTCTTTTCCTGTTCCGAAGAACTTCAGCAGTAATCTGTCCTGAATCTCGGAGAATCGAGGATACGTTCTACTCGGGTGTAAAAATGAGATGATAACCTAGAATGTAAAAGTGTTTTGTTTTTATTTTAACCAGAATAGATAAGAATTGAAAATTTTAGGGTAGTTTTATAGTTATGCCACGTGGTGTATAAGCCTTTTTCACTTGGCTTGTTCCAGGAGCAATTAAAGTGTCCGTCCGCATTTCCTCTAACGCCCTTATTATTTCCACTTCTCAGCATTATCGCGTGTAAGCGTTGGAAAGAGCTCGCGAGTTTTCGGGCGAACACAGAGGGAGAACGCAGTCGGCACCGCGTCTCATCGTGTTCGCGGCGAACAATAACGACGGTGCAGCCTTTTGTTCCCCGGTGAATCCACCCGGTCGCGACGCTCTATCGCGGGAAGAAAGACAGCGACAGAGAGCGAGTGTGTTCACTCGCGGGGCCTGGCGGCGCGAGCGATCAATCGCGGGCAAACGCGTCCCGTTGCAACCGAAATAACGACCGAAAGAAAACAGCACGAGGTGTGCGTCTCGTGCGTCACTGGTGAGAAAAGAAGCAACGAGACGACCGTTTGCGAAAAGCCTCGTTCACGCGTGAAACGGCCACGATTAGGGCCGGACTACGACCTTTAGAGGCCCTAGGCACTTGAAAGATTTTCGTGCCCCCATATACAGGGTGAGTGAATGAGAACTATTATCTAAATTAACTCGTTACTTATTGATTGTATCAGAAAATATTTTTTAATGAATTATGTGGCATTTTAAGGGACGCGTCGGATGGGTACAATTGAATCTGTTTTTATATTATTCTTTTGAGACATCAAGATGAGTTTGAATATGTTCAAGGTTAAGCGCAATTTATTCTTAACAATGGGAATTCGTAGAAATAATCGACAGTTTAGTCGTGAGTTAATGTACGGTCGATCGTGATATTCAGAATCGATGAAAATGAATTCTCGTGTGCACGAGGCTTAAATATATCCGCGATCGCATTTGAGCGTCCAGACGGGTATCAGCGTCGCGGGACAGGTCGACTGAAAAGGATTAACGACGCTTGTCGAACGACGTCGAGAAGACGGTGACGGCCACGTCGACTCGCGGCCACTCGAAACAAAGAAAGAGAGAGTGAGAGTGAGAAAGAGAGAACTGCATTGCGGTGCACGGATGCAGTCGACGGATTCACCGGGAAATCCGACGTTTCGTGCATGTGGCCGTCGACGTGTTCGACTGTCTTCTCATTTGTCTCTTCTCAACCGTTTCGGGAGGCGAACTAGTGTATTCGGTAGAGAGCAGGCTTCGTAGGAATTTTATCATTTCTGACGATCAACGTCGAATCTCTCGACGAATCTGTACTTTGGTTTATTACTGTAGCTATTAAGCCTAGTCGCCATTGGAGGTTAACGATGAATCCTGTGGGCCCTGGTTTTTCCTTAATTTCCGTCAGTCTAGCAAAGAAAGCATGGGCAAGTGGCCCTCGTGTCAGTCTTTATTGTTATTGTTTGTTAAACAATCTTCTTTATTTGAAATACCATTCTGTAAAGTTCCAGTTCGCTACCTCCTCGTTTAAAGTTAATGTGGGGGTAAAAGCCCTGAACTTTGTTATTTTTTTTGGAACAAAAAGGAAAAAGTAGCTGGGTAGATTAAGGGTAGAAAAAAAATTATTTATTTTTGGGGTGTGGTTTTCGCAAGCAACCCTTTGAGTGACACCCATCAAAAAAATCAGAAGTAACACTCTAGTATTTAACCATTATCTGGGAAAGCTTTAAGAAGGTCGGGTTGGTGGATCATAGTTAAAAAAAATAAAACGTTCAATATACGTATAAAGAATAAAGAAGTATCTTTATAATTCTACAAAAGAAAGTTAGTTTAACAGAACAAATGTGTAAGTAAACAAGTAATTTTCACCATAAATGCAGAAACTTGCAGCTTGTTTGTTTGGATACGAAACGAGGGTGTAGCGATCTGAAATTTTACAGAACGATATGTTACGTAAAGAACATTGTTTAAGAAACACTAACAACACAAATTGACACGATGGCCTCTTGCCCATACTCACCATACTAGACTCTTTTTATACTCTGAGAACTTATCGGAGTAATTTAGAGTTCTCGAGAGACAGTTTAAGTAGACCAGGTGGTACCACAAAAAGATCCGTCGTCGATCGAAACTGACTAGATTAACCGGCTTACCTTTATTTTCTTGATTCGAACACACACACACACACACACACACACATCGAAGGCTACTCTAGCGTACGCACAGATTTGAGACGCTTGGCAAGCGAGCGAGCGTCACGACGTCCCGACTGCTTCACTGCGTAGGCACACAGTCGCTTTTATTTTCACACATATACACATATATACATATATACATGTACACGCCCCGACATTGTGTCGGCTACGTTGTGTCGACGTATGTACTTTACCATGCCCTCTGAGAAACTTCTGTGAATGCACCGTACTATGCAACGCACATGCATCCTGAATCTGCGTTTCTATCGTTTGAGAATCCGGGCTCGATTATATTGTTCGCAGCCGCTGATTTCTAGCCCCATCGAGAATCGAACAGAGCCGATAACAAGGAAAGTAAAAAAAAAAAAAAATGAAACGAATCGAACTGTTACACGTGAGTAGATCTGGACGAGAAATCGAACGCGTCCAGGAAATTTCTGTTGACGAGCACCCGAGAAACGCGACCTGTTTCGAACAACTATACTTATGTCGATCAGAATCCGAGACGCTCGTCTTGCAATTTAGTGGCTTGTCGAAACGAATCATATATACTTTAATTGCACCTGGCATGCTTTCTAGTGTCGATCGAACCACCTTTTTCACTCACTACCACCGCCATCACAGTTTCGTAGATACTTTCTGTTCGACACCTTTTAGCCAACTGTTCTTGCTGTTGTGTATCGCTCTCACGTATACTTTATCCTTTTTTACCTTTCTTTGTCACTGTTGAACTGTCCGTTTAATAGCACCGTTGTCTTGTCCGCTTGTTTCTCTTTGTCGTCGTTTTTCACATTGTATTTCTTCTCGCTGTTCTGTATCCGCATGAATTTTTGTTCTCCTTCTGATATTGTCTCTGCACGTGGCCCGGGCGCCTCTTTCATCTCTCTCTCTCCCCCAGCCCACCTTCCTCTCGACATCTCTCTTCGCCCCCGTGATCTCAGCCCCGCAGACGACTCGCTCGAACACATCGACCGGAAGCGGGGAGGAGAATCGATCCCGCCGCACCGATCGCCGTCGCCGCCTCTCGAAACTTCTATTTTTCCTCTCGTTTCTAGAGAGATCTGTGCCGCGCGATCGACGACAGCTCACATTCCATTTCTTCCGGAAATCGAACGGCGAAAGTGTACATTTTGTTCTATCGGGTCTCGAACCTAGAATAATTGCTCGAGACGGAGAAGGGATCACGGTGTTTCGTCGTTCCGGAATTCCACGCTCGAGCAGCTCGAAAAAGGAAACACGATTGCAACAACACGAAACCACAAGAGAGAAAATTCGAGAGAGACAGAGAGAGAGAGAGAGAGAGAGAGAGAGAGAGAGAACCAGAGAAGGAGAGGGTGAAGGGAGAGAGAGAGAGAGAGAGGAAACGTAGAGAGTAGAGTAATTTGTCTTGTGAATAGCCTTGATATCTCTATAAATGTAGACACAAAGAGAGAAAGAGAGAGAAAGAAAGCGTGTTCGATGGAGTGAACGTTGGAGAGAGAGAGAGAGAGAGAGAGAGAGAGAGAGAGAGAGAGAGAGAGAGAGAAATGGAAAGATGGACGAAGGAGTCTAAATTGAAACATTTCCGAAATGCGAATTGTTCCAGGACCTAAAGAAGCGCGGTTCCCACACCTGTGACATGCAGGCCCTACAGCCACTTCCGGTCCCAACCACCACCACCACCACCACCACCACCACCACCACCACCAACACCGTGCCTGCCATGACTACTTCCGGTGGGCAGTCACCGCTTCCGGTATCGGAGACCGCTTGAGTCGATCACCGAGACAAATCACGAACCGCCATATCCGTTATATATATATATATAGAAAACAAACATAACAAAATCACCTCTAAGAAACCAACCAACCAACCAATCAACCAACCGTCCTCCTCTTCTACTCGATGAGAAAGATGAAAGAGAACAATGGCCGACCGGCCGGAAGAACGGTGAGCCTGCATTCACGATCTATTTATTGCCTTCGAGGGGTGTGAACGATCCGCGTGTGGCCGAGCCGGAAGTGGTCCAGGGATCCCGGAGAGACCGCAAAAACTTTTTCTTTTTTTTTCTTTCTTTTTTCTTATCGCTCTCTCATCGGCTAGAGGCCCTGATCTGCTTTCTTGTAACCTCTTACTTTACGAGGCATCTTTCCTCGATGCGTTGTGAAATTCGATTTCGTGACGATCGAATAGATTCTTTTCTTTTTTCCTTTCTCTTTGATTTCGCTACCACATTTCTGCACGCAGTCTCGTCTGGCAAGAGTAAGAATATTTTTGCTGAATAATCCCGGGTCGATGCTCTACTTCCCTCGGTCCACGCATCCGTCACAGATTTCTCTTAATTTTTGCATTATTTACAGCTCCGAGTTGAGGATCGCCGATCATCAGAAGTAGCCCACAGGTTCCATGTACAAAACCCATGATCTTCGAATTTTTGGCATTTGTGGTTCAAACTTTTCTAGAATAATAAACATTCATTCGGTGTGGCTACTTCCGGTGATGAACGATTCCATTCAGGTAACTCTTCAAACGATACACCGTTCGTTCGTAGAGAGAACGAATCAACGTGTATCGTAGCATCTAGAGCACGTTCTTTTTAGACGCATCGCTCCGTCCCCCACCCCTACCCCCTTTCTATTTGCATGGCTACTGCGAGAATCGAGGATTCACGCGGCCAAGAATCGATATCCACCGTTCGATTCGAAGCGGTCAGATCCGCTCGGAGGGCGATACACAGGCTTAGCGTTCGCGTCCCACCCTGGCCACGATTTAGCGAGGCGTTGGCCCCCCTAAATCCACGCCAAAGTCCCTCGTCGTTGACGTTGATCAAGCTTTATCGGCCTGGCCCGAAGAGCTACGATCTTCACATACGGCCGAAGGGGCTTACAGTTCGTCCCACGAAGACGCATCGGGGTTTGCTTTAAGCGCGGCACCGGAGGAGAAGCGACGCGATCGGGCCGCTTGATCTACCGTTTTCTTTTCTCTTTTTTCTTCTATTCGGCTGAAAATGTCTGGCACGAATAAAGGAAATCATTTTGGTCCCAGAACGCAGACTGTATTCGACACATCTATCTTCCGGCGTGGATCTGAGAAACGAGGGAACACGATGGCTGAGATTGTTGGATGATTAATTCAGAAACATCTGTGCAACTATGAATATAATTATATCCACGATGGTGGATATTCACGCCTGCTGGTCAACTGGGAGCGAGAAACTAATCCGATTCGAGGCGTGGCGCACTTATTGAATTTTCAAGGGTTAAGCCGGATCCTTTTGAAAGAAAAGAAAATAATCCGACATTTCATCAGCTGGCATCCTCGGTGATCGAATAACACGCGGATTGTGTGAATAATTCACCGACAGTGGAAGACGTCGTCGAATAATGTTTTTGTAGAAAAACTTAAAAGAGGACATTCTGGGAATGCATCCCGCGTAAGTTGACGGAAAAGATTTGGGACGTGCATTAAAGTGTAAAGAAGAATTTTGCAGAAGCCACTTCGCGTCGTCGTCGTTGGAGCAGCTGATGGAAGAACACACGCTCGCGATGAAGGTCGCGCGCTTCCGGTGTCCACCGTTGGTTTTGTACTCGACCGTCGGTCAACATTAGCTGTAACCTTCGTCAGGGTATTCAGTGGGAAAGGCCATAAAGCCTGCTTTGAAAACGGCGCACGCCACGTACCTGACATCCATTTCGAAGATGAAACCCATCCATCTCCCCTCCCCTGCGCCGCGTTTACTCAGGAATCAAAACAGCAAGCCCGAACGGTTGACTCGACACTAACACGACCGAAGCGAACACGCCCGCGCCGAAGCCACGAATATGTCCAAATTAAACGTTCACACCTGCTCCGTTCCGGGTGCGCGTTTGCTTTCAGTCCCCCTCGATGGCGGTTAAATGGCTTGTTAGCTGATGGAAGCATCGAAGACGATGCGTGCGGTGCACACCCACAAGGTGGAGTTTCGCTGGTCTTTTGATGGTATTGCTGAAACTAAAAAGTCAATGTCGAGCGACCGATTTTTATTGGTATCGGAAGATTTATTTTTTTTCTTATCGTCATTACCAAGCAGTGGATTAATAGGATCTTTATACATTAGATTCTTTTTATTCTTTACAGTATTACGTACCTAGGTGGAAGAAGAAATAGCGACGATGGTCTGTAATGGGTTAAACATCGGTCTTCTTCGTTTCCAGATTGTTTTTCGGAGAATGGAAATTTTATTTACCGATACACAATTGCTCTGTTACTTGTTACAGTAAAGACTCGATGAGAGACGGATAAGGAGTTCCTCGTGAGAGTTTCTACATCATTCCTGCCACTGGAGGGGAGGCCATGGAACCTGTTAAGCGCATAATTTATTGCCCCCCTCCACTTTTGTTGTCGACGACAAGAAATAGATTTGCGAAGTGTCGAAACGGAGTTTTAAACTCTCATGGCGTCTTTACTGTATAGTTTTCCCGAACGATTTTCTTCTTGATTATTTTTAAATGGTACTTTTGGAAAGATTCTCGAGCTACTCATCGAGAATTCGAGACCGGTCATCGTCGAGATTCCCAATGTGCTTATTCCGAAAATTCACGAGCCACTTCCGCAGCCGCGAAACGATCCTCTCCTCTCCCTGTATCATCGATCGGTGCTCGGCTTTTTATTTAATCGCGTTTACGGTGTAATTCGGCTGGCCGATGAGCCACCAGACGTTTCTATTCGACCCCGTTTCCGGCTACGAAGTGGATGAATCGGGCGATCCATCGATCGGTCCAAAGCGGCCGCCGCGCGTTACTCGAATACGACCGGCGGAGAGGGTTGCGAGCGGTCGGCTGAAGAGCGGAGAAAGAAGCTGATCCCCGGAAACGAGGTCGAAGGCAAATTTGCACAGGTGAAAACGCCGCCCATCACCATCCTCGACCCCTTTCCACCGTGCGGCTTCCTGATCCTTGTTCAAATCGCGGCAACGTTTGGACTGCGGCTCGACTTATGGGAATCTCTTGACTTTCTCCGACGGTCTGTTCTTTGGATTTGGGACGAAACGAAGAAAACAGACGGTGGAGGTCTTTGCTCGCTGGTATATATTTCCGCGAAGTTCTAGTGTCAATTTGGTCGGATAGAATTACTCGGAACCGTCGCCGTCGATAAGGAATGAAGTTAGGGAACACGTTGGTAGAACGATTCTTACATGCATATGACTACGTTCTGTTCTTTACACGCGTGTAAAATATTTTTCAAGTGATTCCTCGAAGTAATCAGGGGTGAATTTCCGGAAAGTACCTATACCCGATGACCCTGGCCTTGACATATGTTATCAAAGTCGCCCTATCGAGTAATCTTCAAAAGATTTAAACCATCGATCATTGGTTATTACAAGGTTATTAATGAAAAAAAAATTGAAAAACGTACCGTACCGTACGACGTACGGAAGTATCATGTATAAAATCTTTCTCTGATCAGTATATTGCTTCAGTGCTGGCTAGAGACAGTTCAAGAAAAATGTCATTCAGAGTTGGTTAAAGGTGTGGGTGCTTTTCGGAAGTTTATTCAGGCCTTTAGACGGGTCTGAATTTACAGTTCGATGTCTTTAACAATTTGACTGCCGCATGTCACCGAAATACGGGTGACACGTACCTTGTAAAGAGGCTGGATTATTTCAATACCGTTACAACATTTCTGCGTAAAATTAATATCGCGGTATAATTTCAAACAAGAGTACAGCAGCCTCTATTAACAGAAGGCAAATATTTTCGCCGATTTATGACTTTAAAAAAAATGAAATGAAGTGTGTCTGGTTACATACGGCCTTTTTCACTGTGGCAGACAATGTGTTAAATAGTTAATGAACAGAATAAGCAAGACTACCTTCTATCTACAATCGAATCTGGACAATACCTAGGATAACACCTCTCAGTCTCTCACGGCACTAGATATCACTGTCATTCTCGAGAATAAACTTCATAGCCCCGTCAAGTTTTTCAGACCAGCAGAACAATAGTAACGTATTTCCCCGAAGAATTCCCCTTTCACCGCATAGAAGATCAAGACAAGTTCTAGCCTACAGCAGTAACTAACTTCGACGGCGTACACGCGCGCGGAGAGCGTTGAGAAGTTACAAGGCTTTTAACTTCAACCGAAGGAAAACATATCCCTTGTCAATCCGACCGACAAACAGACCAGCCACGAAGTTCAGTCCGCGTATACGCTCGAATTCGACGGGATAGTTATCGATCGAAGAGTCGAGGGACAGGAACCGGTCGAGTGTGCGTTCCTCGTGTAACTTTTCTTTTCCTCGTAAGTAAGCCCGTCGTCAGCGTCTGGCTTGGGTGAACCTTCGCGAATGGGTTCGTCGTTCTCCTATGCGCCTCCTCGAGCCTCTTCGTTTCATCGGAGCCACTTTTCGTCCCGAACAATCGGCCCTTTCATCCAGCCAGTGACCGAGTTCCGAAGAAGGCTTGGTTACGTCCCCGTGGTAACTTCTCCTGGTTCCCAAAAATAAGTCCGTCGCGAACAACAAGCCGAAGTAATGTCCCGAAAATAGGATTCGCGACGAATTTCCTCTTGAACGGGGCGTTCACAATTCCGAGAATCGCGCGTGGGGTGACTGCAGCTGGCAGGTGTCTCGCGAATTCACGTCCTTTGAACCATTCGCCAGCGTTCACAATTCTGTGCCGGTCTTTGTATCTAACCTGCGCGGCGACAGCTGGTTAGATTGGCCCTTTCGAGGCGAGTCACCGCGGAAAGTCGAGACCAGCACGAAAATTAACCCTCTGAACGAGGCGAACGCGACACGACGAACGAACGGTGGGTCACTTTGTGTCTAGCAATGAGAGGGCTCCAACCTCGGGTCGACGATTTTAATGAAACTTTCAGAATATGTAGCAGGCTTCTTCCTCTTCACAGATCAGCCCCATATACACTGTCGGATG